AGACCAACAGAGCACCCTTGAAGTTAATATGTTGTTGTATGCCATCGAGTTGGAACTGACCCATTGTTGACCCTCTAGTATGTTTTCAGAGAATCACACAGAAGGAGATTGCTTATCCTTCTTCGTGGAGCAGCTGGTGGATTAGATCCACCATGCCTTTGGGACTGCTCAGCTACTTACCACAAGGCCACAAAGCTCTCTAAATAGATAGCATGTGTTAAACAGCAGACTGGGATGTCAGAGAGATCTGGTTTTAGCATTTCGTTGTGGAACTTATGTAATCCTTTGGTGTCTCAATTACCTATAGAATGGGTATTTTAAATGCTTACCTTAAAGATTTTGTAAGTAACATGTGAATAGTTAAGTACATGGCTACTAAGTGGTGGTAGTTAGAACTTACCCACAGGGACTTTGGAAAAGGTCTTTTCAATGTACTTCTGAAAGATTATATCCTCTGACAACTCAGTGTATATTTCCACTCTGAAATATAGGTGATCCTTAGGAATCTGAAATTTTTGAGGGGAAATGGTTTGTTTTTATTTTGATTTGGTAAGTTGTGCCAAGAAATCTGGAGGACAGCCAGCTGGCCTACTGGCTGGAAAAGATCGATATTTTTTCCCATTCCAAAGAAAGGTGACCCAACAGAGTGCGAAAATTATCGAACAATATCATTAATGTCATATGCAAACAAGATTCTGCTGAAAATGATCCAAAAATGTTTGGAACAATATGTCAACAGAGAACTGACAGATGTGCAGACTGGATTTAGAAGAGGTCGTGGTACTAGGGATACTACAGCTAATGTTAGATGGATCTTGGCAGAAAGCAGAGAATACCAGAAAAATGTGTATCTGTGCTTCATTGATTATGCAAAGGCTTTTGACTGTGTGGATCACAATAAGCTGTGGCTGACTCTGAGAAGAATGGGAATCCCAGAACATGTGATAGTGCTAATGCAAAACCTATACTTGGACCAAGAGGCAGTTGTCAGAACAAAGCAAGGAGACACTGGATGGTTCAAAATTGGGAAGGGGGTCCACCAGGGATGTATTTTGTCTCCATACCTTTTCAATCTTTATGCAGAACAGATCATCCAAAATGCTGGCTTGTACAAGGAGGAATGTGGCATCAGGATTGGTAGAAGAAGTGTCAACAACCTGTGTTATGCAGATGACGCAACTCTGCTCGCTGAAACTGAGGAGGACCTGAAGCACTTGCTGCAGAAGGTCAAGGACTGCAGCCCCCCGTATGGATTAAAGCTCATCAAGAAAACAAAGATTCTCACCACTGAGCCAATTGGCAGCATCAGTATGAATGGTGAAGAAATTGAGATAGTTAACAGTTTTAGGCTCCACAGTCAACACTCTCGGTACCAGCAGCCAGGAAACCAAGAGACAAATTGCATTGGGAAATTCAGCTGTGCAGGACCTCTCAAGAGTACTGAAGAGCAACGGCATCAGGCTGGAGACAAAGGTGCGCCTGATCAAGGCTACAGTCTTCACAATTATGTATTATGCATGAGAGCATTGGACAGTGAATAGGGATGATAGAAAGAGAATTGATGCCTTTGAGCTGTGGTGCTGGAGAAGAGTGCTGAATATACCGTGGAATGCTAGGAGAACAAACAGGTTTGTCCTGGAGAAGGTGAAGCCAGAATCCTCCTTGGAGTCTGAAGCTTCATCTGACATATTTTGGGCATATTGCAAGGAGGGACTGGTACTTGGAAAGGGACATCATGTTTGGCAGAGTGGAGAGGCAGCGAAGGAGAGGAAGACCTTCGATGAGATGGATCAATTCTGTGAGTGGAGTGGTTTGAATGAGTGCATTTTAGATGGCTAGGTTAGCACAGGATAGAACGGCGTTTAGAGCTCTTACACATAGGGTCGCTATGAGTCACAAGCAACTCGATGGCACATAACAACAACAACGACAACAACTTAATACCTTAGGAATAAATAGTGGGATTTATATAAATGACAGCATGAAACACATAAATGTATCATCTCATATTGTTTAATACTGTAGAGTCAGAACTGACCCATAGCTGACTCTCCAGTGGTTTTTGATAGGCAATTAATCACGTTGGAGGAAACTGTTCATCTTTCTCCCATGGAGCAGATGGTGGTCTTGCCACTAAAAACTCATCCAATTTTCCTAGTTTATTTAGATGGAGTTTATTTATGGAGTGCTGGTGGCAGTGGTGAGAAATTGGCTGCTAACACAAAGTTACATGATTCATGCAGTTTACTGCCTCTGAAATCCTGGTGGAAGATCAACTATGAGATGGTTCTGACTCAGTGGTGCACAATAAAAAGAATGTGTTTCATGTCACAGACCTTTGGCCTACTTTTGACTTAATCTGTAGCTGTGACAGGCACTTTTGTTCCTTTTACTCCACATCACCTGTATCCTTGTCCTCTATTTTCCTACCTTAAGATTTTCTCCAAAGCCATAGGAACAGAGACATTTTGAAAGTACAGAGGCATTAGAACCTCAGGGTCAACTGCCAAAGAGTTCATGGATAAATACCCCAGCCTACACTCTGAGTGTGGGTTACTAGCTATGCATCTGAGAACTGGAAAATGCATAAAGATGACAGAAAAAGAATTGTTGCCTTTGCGCTGTGGTGTTTAAAAAGAGCACAGAACATCCCATACACAGCCAAAAGGACAGATATGTCTTGGAGAGGGTACAGCCAAAGTGCTCTTTGGAGGCAAGAATGATGAGGCTTTGCCTCACATACTTTGGGCATGTTGCTAGAAGGGGCTATTCCTTGGAGAGAGACATGTTGCTGGGAAGGGTGGAGGATCAGCAAAAGAAAGGAAGACCTTCAACTAGGTGGATTGACACAGTGACTGCTGCAATGGGCTCTTATGTGTCAGAAAGTGTGAGGATGGCACAGGAGAGAACAGGGTTCAGATCTTTTATTCATAGGGTCTCTATGAGTTGTACTTAGCTCAATGGCACACAACAACAACAACAACAACAACACGCTGTGAGTAAGCTCTCGTGGAATAATCAATAGTAAATTGGACTGCTAATTCATAGGGCTTTTCTCTCTGGTAGTTCAAATCTATTAGCAGCTTCACAGAGGAAAAAGAAACAATCTCCGCTCATACAATTTACAGCTACTGACAACCTACAGTAGGTCCAGCTATGAGTCAGTTCAATCCCACGTCAGTGATAATGACTTTGACACTGTGAATAGACATGCCTCAGAAAATTTTGTTCAGAAATCTTGGCAAAGTCAAGAGTATATAGTACACATTAATGACTTCCAAATCTGGTATTATAGCATTTTATAATCATAAAAGCAGTTGGCATAAGACAGCAAAATTTAAAATTTTTCTTTATTGGATCTTATACTTAATTTAAAATCCAGACAGACAATATCAAATGATATACATGAAAAATGTTGGAGAGATACAGAATATAATAAGAAAAAGGAAATATAATCAAGGAACTGTGAGAGATTCTGAAACCCAAAACTATTAATTTCCCAATATTATTCTCTATATTCCTGAAAAGAATTAGGCTGAAAGATAGTTACAGGTAACTTTAAAACATGAGAAATATCCAGATTTATTGCTTATAACAAAGGCAGAATTATCGTTCAGTATAAATAGAAATACATTAATCTTACTACACAACAGAAAGAAAATAGACTATCTTCACATGTTGAGAGAAGATAGACATTTAGTTATGAAATTTTATTTCAAAGCAGTGTGCCTAAGTGGTTTAGTAAAGACCACTGAGAAATTTAAGCCTCACTTCTCTTTCTAGTAAATGAGGACAAAAATTATATCTAACCCATAAATTTGTTGTGAAGACTGGATAAAAACTTTTAAAGAACATCCTGTGATTGGAACATTATAAACAGTCACAATGTTCATTAGCATTCTTATTAGTGGTTTAGATAAATTTCCATATAATGCATAATATATCGGTAGTGAGGACTGTGACAAATGCTGAGCTATGTTAATGACCAGTTTAGTTATTCTCATTTTGAAAATTGTACACATCAGCTAAGCAAGACATTCCTAATAGAGAAATTCAGAATGTAGGGGCAAATAGAAACCACTAAACTTGAGCACATTTCCCTTAAGGCATAGTTTAGTTTCAATCATATATTGTTAGTGTTTTTTAAAAAATACCATAAACATGTTTGCTTCTGCTGTTGTAGTGGTGGTGGTGGTAAACACATATGTAAGAAAACATTTGTCATTTCAATATTCTTCACATGTACAATTCAGTGAAATTAAGTATGTTTATTGTGTTGTTTTACCATTACCAAATAGTATGTTTAATTTTACCAGTCTTTAATAATATTTCACTAAGTGGATTGGCCATGCTGTCATCTCTATTCTTACATTTTGTACTCCAGAATTTTTAATATATAATTGATCCAAATGATCATGTAACTTCTATATTTTGTGAAATTTTTTTATGCATTTAAAGATATTTTGTTAGGATAAACTTCAAAAGTGAAATTACACCATTAAATAATATAATCTTTAACATTTCTTGCTATATACTACCATTACTTTACAAAATTATGTACCAATTTACACTGCCCTCTGAAATTTCCAAAAATACCTATTTCAAAACAATTTCATTTTCACTGTGAATTTAAATGAAACAAACTATTATACCGATGGTCAGATAATGGTGTCTGTTGTCTAACTATTGTTTAACATTCTTGGATTATGAGATTGAATTTTCCCCTATTTTAAAGTCAATTATATTTTGTGTAAATTTTTCTTGTGTTCTTTAACTATTTATTGAAATATTAGTGAATGTTAAGTTAAACTTTTTCTATGATAAGTGATAAGGTTACCAAGAACTTTTTGACCTATGGAAAGACTCATGTTAGTCCAAAACATACTTTGGTACTTCAAACCGGCAGAATTTGGAGACCAAACTAGAAAGCACATGGACATGCATATGGGCAAGTGGAGTAGACTTAAGTTCGCATAAGGTGAGTCTGAGGCATGGGAGAAGTGAACTGAGCAGGGTCACCTGTCTCCCACAGTCCGCAGGTTCTTGTCAGAGCTGATCTTGAACATGGCAAGCACTCGTGTTCTGATCTGTTTGGTCTTGGCACCATAGATGATAGGATTGATCACAGGAGGCAGCAGCAAGTAGACGTCTCCCATGAGAACATGCACAATGGGATGCAGACTGTTTCCAAAGCGGTGCACCACGGAAAGGCCGATAAGAGGCACGTAGAAGGCCAGCACCACAACTATGTGTGACACACACGTTCCAAAGGCCTTGGCCCTCTCTGACTTGGAAGGCAGCTGTAAAACCGTTCGTATAATCAGGAAATAGGACAAGGAGATGAACATGACATCCACGCCCATGACCAGTAAAATGGCAGTAAGGCCGTAGACCACATTTGGCAAAGTGTCAGTGTAGGCCAGCTTCATCATGTCCTGGTGCACGCAGTAGGAGTGTGAGAGCACATTGGAGTGGCAGAAGGTCAGGCGCTTGATGAGCAGAGGCAATGGGAAAAAGAAGAGCGATCCTCGGACCACAGCCACCACGCCAATCTGGGCTGTTACTGTATTGTTGAGTACTGCAGCATGGCGCAGCGGGTGGCAGATAGCTATGTAACGGTCAAAGGCCATGGCCAGCAGGATGGTGGACTCTATAGCTGAGAGAGCATGGATAAAAAACATCTGGACTAGGCAGGCTTCAAAGGTAATCTCCCGGGAGTTAAACCAGAAGAGGGCGAGGATCTTGGGCATTGTGGATGTGGACAGGGCCAGGTCAATGGCTGCCAGCATGCAGAGAAAGAGATACATTGGGGCGTGTAAGCTCCTCTCTGTCCTTATGATGAAGACGACAATGCAGTTTCCAAACACTGCCACGGCGTACATTGAAAGCAGGGGGAAGCCGATCCAGAAATGGGCTTCTTCCAGTCCTGGGATACCAATAAGCACAAATGTGGCATGTGTGAAGTTGCAGGAATTCATAGCTGGCATTGAGGAAGGGGACTGGAGTGAGATCACTGGTCTGCCTGCTAGCCTGCTAGGACATGGAGCACAATCAGAGAGGCCAGCCCTGCAAAGCTGCTCTGGGAACTGAGGGCATCTTCTTCCCTTCTCTCCCTACTCCCATTCCAGGCTGATACCACACTCAAACAAAACCAGAAAAACAGGGCAGCTGAAACAGACTCCGTGACCTTCTAGAAAAGAATGAAACTTCACTGTAAGCACTTTCAGTAAGTCTTTATTGGAACAGACTTCTCTCTTTCATCTTTGAGACTGCTCATCTTTCTCTCTTGGAATGCCTGACGCTAGGACCACTGACTTTTAGGTTAACAGCTCAACAATTGACCCAGAAAGCTACCAGCCATCCTTAGTTTCCTCAGAGCCCTTTATTGTGGTTTGTGGTTTCATTGTCTGGATACTGCATATCATTCACTTTCACAAAATGGATAATAAGAAGCACCTTATTTAAAATCCCTTCCAGCCAGAATTGGGTCTTTCTTTCGTTTTAAATTTATTCTTTCGAAAGCATTTGCTTATAGGATCTCCTATTTATAAGATGCTCCAGATACAGAGATAAATAAACCTCCTGTGCCCTCCATCTCTCCTGCTCAGTAGAGGTAATAAAAGTAAAAAAATTATTAGAGTATTGTGACAAATGTTAACATAAGGTGTGTGTTTATTACAGAGAGGATTAGAGAAACCTTCTTGGAAAAGATGATCCTTCTGTTCAACCTGGAAATGTGAGGGGAATTTAGCTAGGATGAAGATGGAATAAAAGATGTTCCAAGCAGCAGGGAAAAGGCAAGTGAGGATGAAAATAAGCACTACATAATACAACAAAATAAGCAACAAACTAAAAGGAAAACAAAAAACAAAAAAAAACTGAGGGGAAAATAAATTTTCACTCCCCCAGGAATAAAGGAGATGTAAAGACAGACACATAACAAAGCTCCTTATAATGACTTATCTGGACATAAAGATGCTGACAGGACAGCAACTCTTTCTTCTGCTCTTTGCTGGTGGATTTCTCCCCACCTATGTAATGCCATCCTCACAAACTCCAGTCCTGTCATCCTCAAAAGTTTGCCCGAGTCCTGACCTTGGTCTCTCCTGGAACTTTTGCCAAAAAGCCATCCATTTCTTTCTTAGAAGCCTGGTGTCACTCTGCCCCAGCTTTCCACTCATATCCAAACACAGGGTGCTGATCTCATCCAACTCCTTCTTTGGTAGGCTCCTTATATGTTCTGCCATTCAGAGCTAATTCTATCTAAGAAGCTAAGGGTTTAACTTAAAGAGGATGCTAGGTTTTGTCTCTTAAAAAGAAACAGTGGCTTATTTATTTTGAAAATAAACTCAATGGTGTACAGGTTGCCTTGCTCATCTTCCCAGAGTTCTTCTATAGAAGCTTTTAATTTTCTTTTTAGCACAGATCCAGGAGATACCTTTCCTTTTGACTTTAGTGGATACAGTACCAGTGATCTTAAAATATATGGTAAAAGGAAAACTGAAAGAGTTAACTTATATATTCCTCATTTTGCATGTGAAAGCAAGAACAGAACCTTTTAAGATCACAGAAATTACATTACTGATCTCTATTTTATCTTCTCAGAAATTTATGCAAAGACATAAACACCAAATATCAAATATGGTCCACAACTACTATAAGAACACAAAGATCTCCCTTCAGAGACAGAGAATAATATTCTTAAGTGAGATGCAACTTTTTAATAATCAATAACTTGTGGAGGGAATATGGAAATCCAAACAAGACAAGCTGAAAAGCGTGAGTCTGAGTAAAGACATTTTCTCTAGAGAGTGGTAAGAGTCCTTGATCACCATGTCCAAAAGAAATGGGACCAATGGTGAAGAAAAGGGTAGACTAGAAATATGATGAAATATTGCCTCTTTTTCAAGGCCTCTTGCCTCTGTGGATGCAGGCAGCACTGATAGATTGTGCACTTTATTGAATCCTCTCATGGGACTTCTTTTTTGCTTTGCTAACACTTGTACTCCCTTATTGAGATCAAAGCTTTGGGGCCATCATCTCAGATATCTCCAGATACATAGTCCAAAAGACTTCAATTCTCTGTCATCTGGTGTCTGCACGATTACTTAGATAGTCTTTTCTTAGACTCAATTAAACCTGTTCTGAATGTGGCTGCTGCTTTCTTCTCACCTGCCTTGTATGGATTGTTGGCTAAAACTCTAGGACATTTCTTTCCTGCCTACGGAGGTTTGGGTTGGGCACTAAACCCTCCCCCCACCCCTACCCCAATGCCTTAGCACCAGTCAGTGTGAGGGGTCTTCAAGACCCTTTGTTATGGCAGACATCTTGGAATGTACAGTTCCTGGTAAAGACGTACTTACCTGGGAATGGTACAGTCCTACTGAGTAACAGCAGCTAGACGAAGCTGGCTTACTCTTTCAGGAACAGGCCTATTTATAATGCTGTCCAGAGGCCTATGGGAACTAGCTGTGGGAATATGGACTGAGACACCAGGGAGCTGGCAGACAGGAACATCTCTACATTCTCTAGTATGTCACTCCCAAAGGCTTCTTATTGTCTCTTCCAGGGGAAGAAATAAAAAGACTTATAACCTCTGTCGTTCTTCCTAGAGCAATATGCTCACTCCTCCCTCCTTCAAAGCTAATACAAACTATCAAAATTGGCCACTCTGTGGGGAGTCCTCTCCCTCAGAACTCTGCTAAGAGAAACAGCCTCTTGGGTGTGGTTATGGTTCTTAGGCTCTGTGAATTTACCTTCTTTTTAAAAAACTATAAAACCATTATATTGTAGAATAAGTATGAGGATCAGGGGTAGAGGCAGGAGGGGTGAGGATGGACGGGAGTGAGAGGTGAGTGTTAATCAAGTTACTGTTATGTGCTGTCAAGTTACCTGTGACTCATAGAGACCCTGTGTACAACAGCTCTGAACCCTGCTCTATCCTGAGCTAACCTTATTGCCTCTGACACACCTACCCCCATTACCCCAGTCACTGAGTCAATTCATCTCATCAAGGGACTTCCCCTCCAAGCATAGTGTCCCTCTCCAAGGACTGATCCCTCCTCGCAACATGCCTAAAGTATGTTAGACAGAACCTCAAAATCCTTGCCTGTAAGGAGCAGCAAGCTTTCACTCTCTGAAGGGTGGACCTGTTTGTCTTTTGATTTCCTAGCTGCTCGTAACAAGAGTGTTGATTGTGGAGCCAGGCAAACTAAAGTTGTTAACAATCTCAGTCTCTCATGTCTGTCATGATGCTGCTAGTCGGTCAAGTGGTGAGAAACTTTGATTTTTGATGTTGAGCTTCAATCCATATTGAAGGCTGCAGTTCTTGACCTTCTGCAGCAAGTGCTTCAGGTCCTCCTCAGTTTTGGCAAGCAGGGTTGTGTCATCTGCATAATGTAGGTTGTTAATGAGTCTTCCTCTAGTTCTGATGCCACATTTCTCCTCATAGAGACCAGCCTCCTGGATGATCTGTTCTTCATACGGATTGAAAAGGTATGGAGATAGGACACATCCCTGGCATACACCGTTCCAAATTTTAAATCATTCAGGGTTTGCTTTCTCTGTTCTGACGATTGCCTCCTGGTCCAAGTATAGGTTTTGCATAAACACAATCAAGTATTCTGGGATTCCCATTCTTCTCAGAGTCAGTCTCAGTTTGTTGTGATCCACATAGTCAAATGCCTTTGCAAAGTCAAAGGAATACAGATAGATATTCCTCTGGTAGTCACTGCTTTCAACCAAGATCCTTCTAACATTGGCTATAATATCCCTAGTGCCATGACTTCTTCTAAACCCAGCCTGCACATCTGGCTGTTGTCTGTTGATGTGCTGTTCCAGTAGTTTTTGGCAACTTTCAGCAAAATTGCACTTGCATGCAATATTAACAATAGTGTTCAATAATTTCTGCACTCTGTTGGGACTCCTTTCTTTTGAATGGGAACAAATAGATCTCTTCCAGTTAGTTGGCCAGGTGGTTGTCCTCCAGATTTTTTGCTACTTGGTGGCGAATCCAGGGTAACATTTGTTTGTTGAAATATGTCAGTTGGTAAGCCATCAGTTCCTAGGCCTTGTGGTCCCAACCCCTCCCCCTGCCCTCTCCCCCCACTCAGCACAATTCTTTTACAGCAGCTTGAACTTCTTCCTTCATTACCACAGGCCCTTGTCATATGTTGTTTCATGAAATTTTTCTATGTCAGCCAATTCATTTTGGTACAATGGCTCTGTATACTCCTTCCATCTTCTTTTAATGCTTTTCAATACTCTGCCCATAACGTCTTTAAGCATTATAACTGGAGGCTTGAATTTGTTCAATTCCTTCAACTTAAGAAATGCTGAGTAAGTTTGGCCCTTTGGATTTTCCGAGTGCAGCTCTTTCCACATTTCATTATAATACTTTGTTTGCTTTCCCAGTCTGCCCTTTGAAATCTTTTGTTCAGTTCCTTAATTTCTTGATTTCTTCTCTTTGCTATGACTTCTCGGTGCTCTAGTGTAATGTTAAGTCTCTTCTGACATTCATTTTGGTCTTTTCTTCCTCTTCTGCCTTTGGAATGATCTTTTGCCTTCTCCATGGAAGATATTCCTGATATCCCCCACAGCTCATCTGGTCTTTGCTCATTCATGTTGAAGGCCTCTGAGATGGTTTTGAAATTTGAGTGCGATAGACTCAAGGTCAGATTTTGGTTCTATGGATTTGATTTTATTTCTTCAACTTCAGCTTGAACTTGCATATGAGGACTTGGTGGTCTGTTCCACAGTCAGCACCTGGCCTAGTTTTCACAGCTGATACTGAGCTTCTCCAGTGATTCTTCTTACAGATGTGGTCGATCTGATTTCTATGCATACTATCAAGAGAAATCCATGTGTATAGTCTGTGTTTATGTTTCTTATAATAAGTATTTGGGATGAATAGGTCATTGATTGTCCAGAATTTTATCATTCTGTCTCCAGCATCACTTCCATCACCAAATCCGTGTTTCCTGACTACTGAGGCAACTGTTTCCAACTTTTGCATTCCAGCCACCCCCTTATTCTTAATGTATCTTGAGATGGATTAGCATGGGATGTTTTGAATTAGAAGATAATATGATCTGCTATGCTGGAGATAAAAAGGTGAGAAAAATGGAGTTGCTTTCATAGTTAAAGTCAACTCTAGATCCACCTTGAAATACAGTACCCTGAGTGACAGGATATCCATATGCATACAAGGAAGTCCAGTGAATACCATGATCATTCATATATATGCACCAACAACTAGAACTAAAAAGGAGGAAATAGAATAAATACTTCTACCAACTTCTATAGTCTGAAGTCAATTGAATATGCAATGAAGAGGCAATAATAATAATAATGGGTTCCTGGAATGCAAAAGTTGGAAAAAGGATTAATCATAGGGTCATACAATTTGATGGGTGGGGTGTGTTTGAAGGAAATTGCAAAGATCTGATGTGAAAAACAATGTATTCAAACTTTGTAAAGAAACCAGTATTAAAAAGAAAAAAACCCCTAGAATGAGTATACAAACTGTCCTTCCATTTTTCAAAGCAGGAATAAAATGGCATCAGATGGCTTTGTAAAGGGATGAAAAAAGAATAGTAACAACTCTTGCCTCTATTCTGACACACCTCTGTACCTTTCCTCAGCCTTTTATTCAGTTTAAAAACAAACAAGGTAGCAGATGTAGGAAATCCATTCTTTATTGCACTTACTTCAGACTAAAAGGACAGATTAAATAAAAACCCTTGGCTGTAATTAACATAGTTAATTAGTGATATTTGAGAAACAAGATACTGTTATTCTTTATTCACTCATTCATTCAACAAATATTTATAGAAGGCCTACAAGATAATAAGTAAAACAGGGCAGAAGAAAACAGTTGTGAGTATCAGAGAAGAGTTGCTAGGGAAAGCCTTACACAACTTTGACTCATAATGACCCTGGAGGACAGAGCAGAACTGTTTTTCCATAGGGTTTCCAAGGCAATGAAAGTTTACCAAAACACACTGCCTCATTCAGCTTTCTCCTGTGGAGTGGCTAGTGGATCAAACTGCTGGCCTGGTTAACAGTGGAATGCTTTCACCACAGCACCATCGAAGCTTCTGAGGTACCCACCAAAAAAGTCAAACCCATTTTTGTCAAGTTGATTCCAACTCAGCACCCTTCATCAGGTTTCCAAGGCTCTAAATCTTTATGGGATAGGACTGTCTTTCTTCTGCCAAGTGACTGGTGGATTCAAACTGCTAGTGTGGTGCTTAGTAGCCCCATGTACTATGCAGCAGGGTTCCTTGATTTACCGACAGTGGCTCTTAATTCCAATAAGCTGATTTTTCTAGTTCCCATAAGCTTTTTTAGCTTTCTGTACTGTTGCCCTTGTTTCTTCTTTGATTTTCCATTTTCATTTCATTCCTTCTTTCACTTTTCCTTTTCTGCAACTTCTCCAAGTCTAAGTCTCTGTGACTTAGCTCAAACATTATCTCCTCCAGAATGTGCCCTAGTAGTCGTAGAGCCTGATTGCACTCTGCCATACTCTGCATGAGAGTCCATTGGAACTACCTTTATATTTTATTCAGCATTTGTATTTTCTTATCTTCTATCCCTTTTTCTAAGTGAACTCCACTCATGTGCTCATGTAATTTCCACTTTAACATTTGAAAACAGGGACATAACCTTCCTAATTATTTAGCCATAAAGTGTTTATTAAATACCTACTTAGTGCCTTTGAATTGTGATATTAGAGGAGAATACTGAATATCGCATGGACTGCTAAAAAAACAAACAAAGCTGTCTTGGAAGAAGTCCAACCAGGGTGCTCTGTAAAGGCGAGGATGGTGAACTTGATCTTACACACTTCAGGAATGTTGTCAGGAAGGACATGTCCTTATATTGGGAAAAGGAGAGTGAGAAAAGAGAAGAAAATCCTTAATCGGATAGATTAATACATTGAATAAACCAATGCGCTCAAACATATCAGAGATTGTGAGGATGGCACAGGATAGGGCTAGGTTCAGGCCTGATGATCATAGGGTTGCAATAGTTGACTAGAAGGCACCTAACAACAACAATAAGAATACTTCTGGAAACATACTTCATCCATTCATCCATTCCTGCAATAAGTATATCTGCAATGATGGGTTTTTAGTTTTAGTTTTTGTTTTGTTTTTGGTGATTCATTGCCCTGAGGATGCTCCCAGACACACCAAAAATCTTTAAATAATTTGGATAAGCAGTGAAAGTAAAGCAAAGATTTTTATGAGAGGTCCAAGAAAGGTGCTGTTGTGTACCATTGAACCAACCTGACCCATAACTAATCCTTCAGATTTTCAGATACAGTGAATCACATGGGAGGAGATTGCCTATCCTCCTTCTGATGGATTAAAACTGAGTGTCTCTGGGATTGTAGCGCAGCTTCTTACCTACCATACTACTAGCTCATTGGGACTCCCTTGTTGTACAGTTGTTGTTGTGTACCATCAAGTCAGAACCGATCCATAGCTGACCCTCCTGGGGTTTTCAGAGGCAGTTAATCTCTCAGGAGGAGACTTCCCATCCTTCTCCCTTGGAGTAGCTGGTAGATTTGAACCATTTGTTTCTAGGACTGCAGTGCAGCTTCTTATCATTAGACCAGCAGAGTTCCCGTTTGTAGAGTAGGAGAGCCTAAAGATTAATGTGTGTGATGAGATAAAGGATACACACACACACACACACACACAGAGAGAAAGGATGTTAACAATTAGATTGCCTACTTCTTGAGTTTAAAGCCTTGAGTTTAAAGTTTTCTTTCATTTTTAGGACTGAATTTCTCCATCTTTTTTCCCCTAATACACAAAGCCACGGTTTATTCTTTTCTTCTTTTGTTCTTATATCGTCTATCTTTCATGAAGAATGAAAGATCAGCCTGTAAATTCACCTTATCTGAGCATTTCTGACTACCCTTGGGCCTGACTGTACTTTCTTTTTAATTTCTTTCTGAATTTTAAAATTTTGACTCATTTTTCAATACCTAAAGGGAAGATAGCTCATAAGAGATTAAATAAAGAGAGAAATACATGGAAAACAAACTGGAAGTTTATTCAAATATATGTCTTATTTCTGAAACACCCTCCTAATCTGTTTACCCATGTTCATTAGTGACTCACTGTATACACTGCCACTGAGTCAAAACCAACTCACAGGTGACTCTTCATTGGTTTTCTGAGACTATAGATCACATGAGAGGAGACTGTGCAACTTTCTCCCTTGCAGCGTCTGGTGGATTCAAACTGCCAGAGAGGTACAGTCTTTCAGTTAGAAGCACAATTCTCTATTGACTACACTCCCGGAGCTGGATAAGTAAAATTTTGTACTGGAAAGAAGGAGATGTAAGGCTGCATAAAATTAAGGAAAGCTTGCTTTTAGACCTTGCCAGTCAGTGTGAAAAATCTTCATACCCCAAAAATGTTGTTGATACCTTCGAGTTGAGCATGACTCATAGCGACCTGACGAGCAAAAGGCCTGAAGCCTTTCTGTAACTATTGACATTTATCGAAGTTTGCAGAGTTTCTGGAGGCATGTTGTTTAGGACATGGATAGCACCCAGTAAATCTTTCTTCAAAGTGTGGAGTTTCAATTAGGAAAATTTCTGCCTTCCAAACCGTTATGCATCTTCTAAGACACTGCTTACTTACGCTGAATGACTGGCACTATGGTTAGAAATACGGAATGAACAGGGAACAAGACATAATTCTGGGTCTTGAGAAGTGGCCACTGAGTTCAGAGTTAGCAGGAGAGAACTATTTGACAAAACAGAAGTGAGGAGGAGAAATTTAAGGACAAAACTTTAGCTTGTTCATTTCTCTCTTCTTATGTCTTTGCATCTTATCTGTAAAATGGACTAGAACTAGCTGAGGGCTTAGATATATTCAATGTGACATGCTAATTTATTATTTTCTAGTTTAATGGAGCTTTGGAGGCCTACCAGCAAGAAATTGCACTGCACACTGTTAGAATCCACCAACTTTTCTATGGGAGAAGGAGAAACAATTTCTTCCTGGGAGATTTACTTGAAAACCTACTGGAGGGTCAGCTACAATTCAACAAACAAGAACAGCTTCAATGAGCACCATTTGTTTGGTTGGTTTTCAATTGATAATGTGGCTTTCAAGAATCATCTTGATGGGCCCATAGAGTTCTAGAATTCCAGGGCTCTATGTTTCTTTAGGATGGAGAATTTTTACAATAGCTCTACGTATTTGTTTGGTCTTTACACTGTAGATTATGGGATTCATTACAGGGGGAATCAGCAAGTAAGTGTTAGCAATCATAGTATGTACATAGGGTGGTGCTCGTTTCCCAAATCTGTGGACAAAAGATAGACTGATCAATGGAATATAGAAGATAGCAACAGCCGCAATATGGGAGATACAGGTGCTAAAGGCCTTCTTCCTCTCTTCTGGGGATGCAATGCTGAGAACCGTCTTTATGATCAACACATATGAAAAGAGGATTAAGACCGAGTCTACGCCAACAGTAGAAATCATGGCAGTCAAACCGACTGCACTGTTGATCCTGGTGTCTGTGCAGGAGAGCTTCATCACATCTGGGTGATAGCAGTAGGAGTGGTGGAGCACGTGGCTGCGGCAGAACGACAGTCTTTTCAGGAGCGATACCATTGGTGTCAACATTACAGTGCCCCGAATGACAATTGCCACTCCAATCTGTGTTATTCTGGAGTCAGTTAAAATGGTGGCATACCTGAGAGGATTAGAGATGGCCACAAAACGATCAAAGGCCATGGCCAAAAGCACTGAGGATTCCATGACAGTGAAGAGTTTAATAAAGAACATCTGTGACAAGCAGGCATTAAAGCTGATCTCCCTGGCATTGAACCAGAATATACCCAACATGGTGACTAGAGTAGATATAGACAGGCCAAGGTCAGTGGTGGAGAGCATGGAAAGGAAATAGTACATGGGTTCATGGAGGCTGGGCTGAGAGATAATGGCAAAGAGAATGAGGCTGTTTCCTGAAAGGGCAGTGACATAGAGAAAGCAGAAGGGAATGGAGATCCAGGTGTGGAAAGCTTCCAGTCCAGGAACACCAGTTAGCAGGAAAACGATGGAAGAGGATGTAGTATTCTGGATAGTTGACATATTCGGTTACAAATACAGAATTCCAAGATGAGAGTCTGAAACAAGAAACCTGTATTTGTGTATTAGTCCAATTACAAATAACTATGTTCCATAAAAGATGAATAAAAACTTATTATCTATATAATATGGATGGCTCATTAAATATCTAGGTACATTTTAGAACTTTATCTTCTCCAGTTGTTAGGTACTGTCACATAAGACCAACTCATAACTGACCCTCCAGTGAATTTTCAGAGGCAGTGAATTTTCCAGGAGGAGATTGCTCATCTTTCTCCTGTGGAGCAGCTGGTAGATTTGAACCATGTGCCTTTGGGTTGGCAGCACAATCCTTACTACTAAGCTTCTAGAGTAGGAAAAGCCACTTTTTTTTAAATACTTGAAGTATCTTGATGGTAACTGATTATATTCTATGATCCCCTTGCCCTAACATGTCCCTGGTTATTTGTGAGTAGACTAAAAGTTGTTACTTTAGATAGAACAATCATAATTAATGTTGATGGTGATATATTTTGTTGTAAAGATATAACAAGACAATTTTCCTGTGTATTTAATAACAAATAAAGGTAACTTGAACCTGTGAAATGGTCATATCAGCCATAAATATGGAGAACATAAGCTTGTAATTTGATGAGCAAAAATATTAAGATGGAAATATTTATGAGGTAACACATGAAAAGGAAAAGAAGTGTCTTAAGAATTGTGGTTGTGTGCGTGAAGCTGGATCATGTAACTTTGAAATGTAAAGAAATCATTCCTCCTACTCACCAGGTTTGGGGACAGAGGAAGCTACTCCCCACTTTATGTAATAGGCTGCTTAAAGCCCTGTTGTTTAAATACACTTCTTTCTTGAAGTTGCCTGAAGAAGCAGAACTCTCTCCACAATAGATTTTCTCTATTTCTTAAGATATACTCCTCAGGATGAATGTTACTGCCTTGCTTTGAAGAGAGGTTTGGTGGCCTAACAGGTAGGGAGTTGCACTGCTAACTTAAAGGCACAGGGTTCTAATCCACAAGGTGCTCTGCAAGAGAAAGAGGAGCAATCTCCTGTGTGATTTACAGCCACTGAAAACCTGCGAATGATCAGCTCTGAGTCAGTTCTGACTCCATGGCACATAACAAGAAGCTTTTCTTTGAAGGTAAATACGTAATTTCATTACAAACATCACATTCTTTTTTCACGGAAAATAACAAACTAAGACAATGTGTATATATGCGTTACAAAGGGAAGACTAAGGAAGGACAGAGATTTGAACTGTGGGTGGAAAATGCCCAGTTAACGAGAGGTAACCAATTTTAGGGTGACTGTTGTACAGGGATCAAAAAAAGGTACTTAATTTCTGATAAGATAAATGTGGTAGAATGGAGGGAAATTTAAGTACTTGCACAATTCACAAACTCAATTCAATTCAATTTCCTTGAAGAAGTCTCAGTAAGACTGGAAAAATGTAACTGAAATTAACATGAAATGAGAGGAAAAGAATAAAAACCGTAACCAAAATCAAACCAAACCAAACCAAACAAAGCCAAACTGACTGCTATGGGGTTGATTCTGACACGTAGAAATCCTGAAGGACAGAATAAAACTGCTCCACTAAACTTTCAAGATTGTAAGTCTTTATGGAAGCAGTGGGCCTCATTTTTCTTCAGTGCAGTGCCCCCTGGCTTTGAGCCATCAAGTTTTTGGTTAACAGCTGAATGCTTTTAAGGACAGTATAATCAAAGCTCTTTAAATTACAGGGAAACAAAACCCCTAAACCCCACACACAAAGAAGTACATTACCTGAGCTAACAACATAAGTCGAATTTGTTGTAACAAATTACATGCAACTCCTAGCTACCCAATGCTCAATAGCTCTGTACCCTGCCCTATCCTGAGCCAGTCCCACTGTCCCTGACATACCTATTCCCAGTACCCCTGTCACTGTGTCAATCCATCCCATCTGGGGTCTTCGTCTCTTGTGCCATCCCCCTACCCTTCCAAGCATGATTTCTTTCTCCAAGGACTGGTCCCTCCAGGTCATTTGCCCAAAGTATGTGAGATGGAGCTTCAAAATTCTTGCCTCAAAGGAGAAACTTGCTTTTACCCTCTCCAAGACAGACCTGTTTGTTCTTTAGGCCATCCATGGTAGGTTCAATACTTTTCTTAAGCATTACTCAAAGGAATCTATTCTTCTTCAATCATCCTTAGTCATTGTCCAGCTCTTTGATGCCTAGCAGGTGATTGTGAAGACTACAGCCTGGATTGCTCCTCTTTAGCACTTTGGAGACTATGACAGCCAGCTTCCCCGGTGCACTTCGTCTTTTGATTTCCTGACTGCTGGTGCAAGTGTGTTGATTGTGGAGCTGAGCGAGCTGAAGTGTTTTTCTGTTGTTTTTTGGATAATCTTTAGCAGAATTTTGCTTGCATGTGATATTGTTTGATTATTTCTACACTCCGTTGGGTTACTTCTTAAAAAAAAAATAAATATTGGTCTCTTCCAGTCAGTTGGCTAGGTAGTTGTCTCCAGATTTCTTGGCACAACCTGGTGAGCATGTCCAGGGCAGTATCTGGCAATTCCCAGGGCTTTGTTATTTGCCAATTTTTTTCAGAGCAGCTTGAACTTCCTCTTTTATCAACATTGCTTCTTGATCATATGTTATTTCATGAAATTCCTTTGGTTTAATTATAATACTTTGCTTTGTCTTCTTAAGCTATCCTTTGAAATCTTCTGTAAGTTCCTTCACTTCCTGTTTTCTTCCCTCTGCATTGGCTTCTTGGCACTCTAGTGAAATATTCAGTCTCTTCTGACATCCATTTTCCTCCTTTGTCTTTGTAATGACCTTTTTTGCATTCTTTGTGGATAATATATTTGATATTTTCCCACAACTGATCTGGTCTTCATTCCAGTCAAATAACAGACCAGAATATGGGCCAGAAGGGAGATCTGGTGACCTACTGGGCACGGGGTTGTGATCTAACTCACACTCAGGCAATTCAAATTCACTAGCTGGTGCTCAGGAGAAAGAAGAGCAAACTCTTCCTATGTATTTAAAGTCTCTGAAACCCCATTGGAGGGTCAGATATGAGTTGGTTCTGACTCAATGGTACATAAAACATCAATGAATGAAACAGAAGGAGGCCTGATGGTGTAGTCTTTAGGTGCTCATCTGTCAACCTAAAGGTTAGCAGTTGGAACCCATTAGCCACTTCAAGGGAAAAAGATGTGTCTTTCCATAAATAGTACAACCATGGAAATCTTGTCGGAAAATTCTATTCTGTCCTATACTGTCACTATGAGTTTGCATTGGCTTATGACAATGTATTTGGTGTTTGTTAAAGGCATCAAATAAAACCACCTATAAGTTACAGTGTAAAAGGTTAATGCAAAATACAGCAGAGAACTTGGTGCAAAGAATGGTAGATTTTGAGTCTTCATATGACAGGAATAATGCCTCTATGTGTCACAAGGAATTATTTTTAAGGAATTTAAACAAAGTAGATGGATTGTTTCTCTGCAAAATTTTGATGGGAGTAGATGAGTTCACAAGGATGAAAAATGGGAGAAGCATATTGTTGGCATAAACATCATGGACAAAAATGTAGAGTAGTGACATAATGTAATTTGTTGATCAACTGTAAGAAATTTAGTGTGCTGGGCCTCAAGTATGAGACTGGTTGCAGTTAAAGATCAAGCTAGAGAGATCAGCAAGGTCATGAAAATCCTGAATTCCATGGAAAGGATAAGGAACTTAGGCAATTCATCACATTTTGTGATTAAGTAAATAATTCATTCTCTCTTTGAATTTAACATTAGGAAGATTTTTCCCCTTTTTTAGTTTATGTTTAGTATCATTGGTTCCCTTTCTGAAAGTCTTATTTACCCTAATCTAATAATAAAAGCTTCCCAACTTTAATATAGTTATTTTTAACTCTTTCAATTTAGCCAAAAAATATATTGACTGTCTTTGTCAATGTCCCTTAGGTAATTCGGGTTCTAGATGCACCCTCCCCTTCTCCCTCAGCTTCCTGCTATGGCTTATAACAACGTTCTTGGCTCTTGGACGAATAGTCCTTTTTTGTTTGTTCTTTCCTTACCATCAATAACGACTTGGGCTTTCCCCACTCCTAATAGTGCTCAGAAAATTCTCCCACTGATGTCCTTTATAATGTTCTAAATGCCAAGACCAAAGGTATTTTTCTGATCTTGTTTTCTCTCCCTCATCTGAAATTTTGGTAATATTGATTAACTCCTACTTGAAATTTCCTTTCCTCAAAATTATCTTTTAGATTAATTTTAAAGATTAATGTTCTGTTCTTATTTTTCTTATTCTCTTTATCAAATTATATTTTTGTTTTCTGCCTTTAAATTTCACTCTTCTACTAGTTATTATTGGGTTGGAATGGACCCATAGCTGACCCTTTTGGTCATTTACAGAGGCTGTAAAAGCACAGGAGTAGCTTGCAGACAGTGTATTAGTAGTTTTCAGAGGCAGGTAATCACATGGGAAGAGATTGTCCATCTTTTTCTCTCAGAGCAGCAGCTAGTGCATTCGAACCACCTGGCCTTTGGGTTGGTAGTACAACTTGTTACCCACTAGGCCACCAGAGCTCCCTTGGCAAAGTAGAGGATCAGTGAAAGACAGGAAGGCACTCAGTGAGATGGACTAACGCAGTGACTGCAACACTTGTTTAAGCACAGTAGAGATTGTGAGGATGGCACAGGACAGCACAAAGTCTCCTTCTGTTGCACGTAGTTTGTCAGTGGTGATTCGAGGACACCTAGGAGTAGTGAGATTTTGATCTTTCCTTTTTTGCTTTCCATATGTTCTTCCTGGGATATCTTATTTATTCCTATGGTTTAAAAAGAAAAAGAAATCTAGCTCTGCTGGTCTACTGGTAAAAAGCTGCGCTGACGTCCTAAAGGCACATGGTTCAAGGCCACCAGCTGCTCTGTGGGAGAAAAAAGGGAAATCTCCTCCTGTGCAATTAACTGTCTATGAAAAGCCGCTAGAGGGCCAAG